ATCCATGAACAAGAACAAAGATCAACGTCTTCCATATAATCATTCAGGGACTAATTAATAGTAGTATCAATTTCAATTATAATTAGTATATTATAACTTGTCAACTTGACATCTGGAAAAAATTGCCCAAAAATGGAAATGTATGTTCAGATGTTGAAGTTGCAAATTTATAATTATTAGGAAAAAAAAAATGCCATCAAAATACAGTCCCAACATAAATTCATCATATCAGAAATAAAATATAAAACAAATTCATGCACGCATAAAATTAGATCAAAAAACATAAAAAGTCACCTTAAACACGACGCGCTTGACATGTTTGACAAAAGCTCTCGTAGGATCCATATTCAAATAAGCAATAACAACTTCTTTTTTTTTGTGATAGAAAAAAAAAAAATGAACATAAATAAAATTAAATTAATTATGTGAAAGCTTTAGAAATATGTATTTGTGAAGGTCCTGAAAGGTCTGGGCGGGAAGCTCGCATCTTGAGCCACCACTCCTTTCTCGATATTCTCCAATGTAACTATAAGAATTCGGATGGTTACAATTTGATTTTAATATATTGTTATGAGATCACATATTTATTAATTTGGATATATAATAAGATTAAATGATAATAATTCATAATTCCTACTATAAGAAATATATTTCATAAACACATATTCATGAATAAGATTAAATGATAATAAATCATATTTCCTACTATAAGAAATATATTTCATAAACACAAATTCTTGTATGAGAGGTCTAACCGGTCTCGCCTTGTCATTTTGTTTGAACAATAACGCATAATTGATACTTTTATTTTTTAAAATATGACATTTTTTAATGAATGTATTCTTATTTGTAAAATGAGTATGTTAGCTTGCCGAATGGTTAGTCCTGCATAGGGCTGTAAACGAGTCGAGCCGAGCTCGGCTCGTTAAATGAACGAGCCTAAAATTGAGCTCGAGCTAAGCTCGTTAAGGCCTCGAACTCGAGCCTTAACGAGCCGAGCCAACTCGGCTCGTTAACCAAACGAGCTATAAATGAGCTCGAGCTCAACTCGTTAAGGCCACGAACTCGAGCCGAGCCAGGCTCGTTTAATTTAACAGCTACTTTTGTACAAGAACAATAATATACTCTGAAATTTCATTTTTTTTTTTTAATGTATGCATATTTGTAAAACTATCAACTATCACACTTTTATAAAAAATAAGAGAAAAATGATACATAGTCAACCTAGTGTACAACTAGGTTGATAACACAAGTGGAAACATTCACTTGTATATATTTTTATTTTTATTTTTGTGGATGTTTTTTACTTGTGTTGTCAACGTAGTTGTACACTAGGTTGACAATGTAGCATTTCTCAAAATAAGACATTTTTATTTTATGAACGTATGAATATTTGACTTATATGTAGAATGAATATATTGGGCCTAATTGTAAATCCGAACTAACCCATTACACATCTTCTATTTGCGGATGATTCAATCATTTTTTCGAAGGCCAACTCGGATGAGATAGCGACCATTGTTAATACTCTGAGACTCTACGAAGAGGCTTCCGGACAAAAGATTAATTTGGAGAAAACATCAATCTCTTTTACTCCTAACACACCCTCGCATGTGCGTCTGGCTATATGTTCGAGTTTGAGAATCCTTTCTCCTGCTTCTCATAATACTTATCTGGGTCTCCCGTCAATAATTGGTCGGGACAAGAGTCGAACCTTTGCGACTATCCAAGAGAGAATTTGGAAAAGACTTCAGTCTTGGAGGAGAAACCTTTTTTCCTCGGCAAAGCGTGAAGCTCTAATCAAAGCGGTGGTTCAATCTATTCCCACCTACTTTATGAGTTTATTTCGAATACCGAAATTTATTTGTGATCAACTGAAGAGACTTGCGGCTCAATTCTGGTGGGGGTCCTGGGAGGGTGAAAGGAAACTGGCGTGGGTTAAATGGAGCAGATTAACTTTGTCCAAGCAACTTGGAGGCTTGGGCTTCCGAGATTTTTCAAAGTTTAATCAAGCCCTGCTGGGGAAACAAGCTTGGAGGGTCCTTTCGGAACCGGATTCCTTAGTGGCTAGAGTCCTCAAATCCAAGTATTTTTCGGCCTGTTCATTCCTTGAAGCTACAACTCTCTCGAGCTTGTCATTCATTTGGAGATGTCTCTTGTGGGGTCGAGAAGTCATCAAGGCCGGTTTGCGTTGGAGAGTAGGTGACGGTCAATCAATCAAAGTTTTTTCGGACCCTTGGATCCCTCATTTCCAAGACTTTTGGCCTATCTCTCGCTATTCTCCGAGCATTAGTCGAGTTAGCGACTTAATTGGGATAAATGGAGACTGGAACTAAGATTTGATTTATCGAGTTTTCTTACCAATTGACGCGATCAAAATTTTTTCAGTCCCTCTTAGCTCGAATCACTCCGCTGATCGCATCATTTGGCATTATTCTAAAAATGGCGAGTACACTGTTAAAAGTGGATACCATCTGCTCAAACTACAATCCTCGGGATCTTTGGAGTCCTCGTCTTCCTCAAATTTTTGGTGGTGGAAAGCATTGTGGAAATTGAATATTCTACGTAAGATTAAATTGTTTCTCTGGAGGGTCAGTCGTTCAGCTTTTCCTTCAGGGGAAAATCTCACCAGGAGGCATATCGGGGTGGAGGCCAAGTGTCCCAGATGCTCGAGATGGGAATCTAATGATCATGTTTTTTTCGAGTGTGATTGGGTTAAACAACTATGGAAAATATCGGGTTGGTGGTCTTCGCTTGCTCCGCTTCAAGGATTAAGCTTTTCTGTTATTTTTAGTGAGCTTCTAGGCGGTGACAGAGGTGCCGAATTTGCAAGTTTTGCCCACTTATTGTGGATTACTTGGAATGAGCGGAATTATATTAAACATGGCTTGCAAGGTAAATCGGTGGAGCAAGCGTGGACGGTAGCGATGGCATGGCAAGAGGAGGCATACAATGCGAGATCGGGGCGTCTTGGTTTAGATTGTATTTCGTTCTCGACAGCTATTGATAGATGGGTTGGCTCAGGCAATTTTCATAATGGCTTCAACTTATTTTGCGATGCCGCAGTTCGAACTTCAGTGATCAGGTTGGGCGGTTGGATAGGCGACTCGCAAGGATTAGGTTGGGCAGCTTTTGAAGTTTGTATTCCAGGCTCATTTGCACCTGCTGCAGCCGAGGCCTTTGCCCTATGGTTTGGTCTTCGCTTTGCTCACGATTCCGGGTTTTCAATTCAAAAATACAAAAACAGACGCCCTCTCAGTAATTATTGGACTGAATGAGCTTTCTCCAAATGATCATTTACATCAAGTTTATGTGGACATTTTATCTCTTTTGTCGAAACTTAATTGTGGGGACTTGTAGTCATGTGTTAGGGAACAGAATGTTGTTGCCCATTTTCTTGTTAGTCGGGCTACGTTGGTGTCGGGACCCTTCTTTTGGAAGGATAATATCCCGACTTTTCTATCTCCTCCTTTTGGTACTGCTACGGAGTCTTAACCTCCGTTGTTAGTTTCGATTATTGTAAATNAAGTATGTTTGATTTTTCAATACTAACTAAATGAATTCAAGACCAAGTATGTTTGATTTTTCAATACTAACTAGATGAATTTCATAATATAATAGTACATTTTTCTGATTTATAATATGTATCATTTTTAAAAAAATGCGTAATTCATAAAATTTATAATAAATTGTTTTATTATACACGAAAACTTAGTTTGACAATCCTATTCCCATGAAATTGTAGTTATATAATAAGATATTAAATATATTTTATAAATACAGTTTTAAGTAAGGGCAACTTAGTCTAAATCTATAGAATAACATTTTAAAATTATTTACTTAATTTATTAGATTGTCACAATTTGAAAATCTATTGATTCTTTTTTTTTTTCAAACGATAAATATATTAATAACTAAAAAACTCAAACGAGTACAATAGGAGTGTCAACTGACACACAGGAATCAGAAAAACTGGACCTCTCCTCTCGAAAGCACATATGTGTCCGAGAGGTACAACCTCCATCAAGGAGTCAACCGCACACACAAAAATCCACTTCCATAAAGGAGACTAAAATTCCATAAAGGAGACTGAAACTCCATAAAGGAGACAGAAAGCCAGACGTAGCTGGACTTCTACGCACTAAAAAAACTAAAAGATTAAAAATACACACCTAATATACACAACTAGAGTAAAACCTCCCCTAGTTGAACAAACAAACCACCTACCAGCTAAACTGACAACCAAGACGCACCCACAATACCAAACCCCAAACGAATAACAAATCTAGACTCCAAACTCGAAAACTGCGGACACTCAAATAATGATTTGGATAAGCTTTACCAAATGAACCACACAAAAACTTACAGATTAAATTTCCTAACATGATCGATTGTTTCTGTTATATAGGCTATGTTTGGTAGCCAAATAAGCTAACTTATAGATTATTTGGTTAGCTTATAAGCTTCTTATATTCATACATAAGTCTCGTTTGGTAGGACGAGTTTTTTTTTATAAAACTCGAGGTTATCTCATAAGCTTCTTTACATAGCTTTTCAAATAAGCTAATTAAATTTATTTCAACTAGCTTATCAGCTAATTTTACCAAGCATTTTTATCATATAAGCTAGTTTTTCAGTTATAAGTCATAAATTATAAGTTATAAACTCGAAAATTATAGATAAGCTATAAGGTAGTTTAGCAGCTATCAGCTAGCTTTGTATACTATGTTAGTAAAACTAGGTGATAGCTGATAAACTAGCTTACCATTTATCAATAATTTTCGAACATATAGCTGAAAAACTGGCTTATATGATAAAAATATTTGGTAAAATTAACTGATAAGCTAGTTGAAATAAAAATTTTAACGAGCTTATTTGAAAAGCTACCCAAAGAAGTTTATGGAATAAGTTCGAGCTTTTAAAAAAGTTTGTCCTATCAAACGAAGTTTATTTAAATACAGAAAATTGATAAGCTAACCAAATAAACTATAATCTAGCTTATTTGTCTACTAAACATAGTATTAAAATTCACAACATCTCATTGAAACTTGCTTTGCATGTCCGTTAGAAGTTACTAAAACAATAAAATTTATTAGAAAACTAATGTTGTGATTCGCCATAAACTTAACCAATCAATACTCAAATTTAACTCAACATTATTATTCTCAATATTATCAATATAATTAAATAATATCAACAAATCATTCTTACAAATCACATCAATTTTAATTCACTCTTCATCCATTCATATAAGTTTAATTTTTAACTAACAATCACTTTCAATATTTTTTCTCCTATTTTTAGATCAAATCAACTTTAATTATTTTATTTTAAATAATATTTTAATTTAAACTTAAATTCACTAACAATTAATCATATCACCTTTTTCAGAATTAACTATGGTTGAAAAAAATCAATCAAAAACCAATCAAATTCAATATGAACCTGACAATTTACAAATATTTGTGAATGAAGAAAATAAAAAAATATCAAAGAATCGGGCTTTAGGACTTGAATCCACGAGATAAAAAATAACATTACACACAATTAAAATAACATTACCATATTATATAATAAGTCTCGTTCTTATTTGAGAGATATTCTAGATACCTTGTACAATAAATTTAATTTCATAAATTTTATATACATAATCTAATTACCAATTATCATTTTGTAAAATTTATATAAATATCAAAATTTGAATGAAATCCTAGTGCTATTTCCATCCAATTCTCCCTCCCACCTCTCTTAAAATGATTCTAAAACAATCAAAATTACACATGGAACCAAATTCACTCCAAATCAAACCAACCAACCAAACTATCATCACAAACCAAATTATTCATCTCCTATCATGCTGCCAACAATTGAAAACCAAGAAAAAAAATAGAAGCTGTGAATTATTTCAGAACATGGAAAGAATCAAATAGTAAAAAAGAAACTACAAATTAAGCATGAAAACTGACTAATCAGTTGCGGCTAAACGCCGAAATAACCACCGTCACAGCTGCAAGCTCCGCTATTGGAGCCACCGTTGGGCCGTGTCTTGAGGCTGAGGCAGCAGCAAGCCAAGCCGATCAACACCATGAAGCCCCAAGCCGTGGCTAAGGCTTGCACCCAACTCCAGCTGAACGCCATTTAACGTTCGAAAATCAACTCGACTCAACTCAACTCAATCCAAAATATAGTCAAATTTTCATAAGAGATGATATCTGAATATGGTTATATATGTATATGTAACATATATGAATTAAGATGCACGTGAGGCTTAGCTTGAAAGAGAGCCAGAAAGCGTGAGCCAGCCTATGAACCAATCAAATGAAAAATCTTGGATGTCTCAAAATAAACTTTTGAGCACAAAGAACACAAAATTGTGAATATACATTTTTTTTTATAAATCAAATGAGGACAGCTATAATTGTTGGGCAAATAGATTCGGTCTTTTGGTTCTCTTTCTCACGAAGTAAAGCAATCGGCAAATTTTAAGACAGTAAATTCTTCGATGTTCTCCAGATGGGATGGGAAAAGGTATTGTAAAAGTTATTCTTGAGATTGAATGTATTCTCTTTTAGAAAAAAGTTAATATGTCCACTGGCAGGCTGATATAATAGAAGATTAGTGATATACAATGGATATAGTATTTAAAGATCGCGAAATACATTTTAAAGTACCATGGAATTTTCGTTTATCTTTGTAGTGAAAGGAATGAGAAGGGAGCTTTTTGGTTAGAAAAACTATTCCTCTTGCGGAAATGGAATTTCTACTTTCTGCTTTTTTCCTGGTTTCTTTTCCTCTTGATAATCATTTGATATTTCCTTCATCAATAATTTAATGTTTAAATCTCTTGTATTCGATTTTTATTCCGGTTATTTATACTATTTATATACATTCATTTTATTCAGGTTGCTTTTCAATAAAATGCACACATTAAATAGATCAAATATTCTAACGATTCTATAATAATATTCGACTCAAAACTGCATCACAGCGCTAAATTAGACTATGAACAAATCAACCAGCAGTCAATGTTTTAACATGTAACCAAATGCGTTCAGTTTTCCAGTCAATGTTTGATAACATCACCTGAATATTTGTTTCCAAATTCTTTCAGAACAGCAGTCAGCTTAATGTGGTGAACGAGCACATCTTTTACATGTATAGCCAAGGCAACATTAACAAAAAAGTTAAAAACATTGGCCACCATCCAGCAGCACATCTGTTTATCTGACACTTGCATTTGAAAAAAAAAAAAAATATAACCCCACGGACATCTGAAAATCATATTAAATTGGTAAGTCTTCATTCACTCGATCAAACAAGGAATGTAAGAGATTTAACAGATCATCTTCTACTGATTTTCAGATATTGGCAGCCTTCCTTTGCCTCAAACTCGAACAGCTGGCTGGAATAAATCACACGAAAACACAAGTTATTATTCATAAACACCACCCTCAAATAATATATAGAAGCACATAAAATTAGGCAGCTTAAAGCATATATTTTAGAAAAGATGTGATTACTAGGGTGCAACAAGGTCAATTCCACAAAAGATTAGAACAAAATAAAATGAAAAAACACAAGCGTAAAAGGAAGAATAAGTGCCATGAAAACATAAATAAGACCCATAATACAGGTAGTTCGACAAAAGTTTCAAATAAATAATGATAAGACAAAGAATGTCTAGTTAACGAGTGAAACTGAAAATCAAGGATCATGGGAGGTCATGGTTAAACTGACAATTTCTCTTACTGGACGTTTTGTGGACCGTGAGCAAAACATCTAGGAAGATTATTACCTTAGTCTAATACACCAAGTACCAATTATCAATGTCTTCTCTCTTTACAAGAAACTCAATAGTAGTTCTTTGACCAAGTTATACAAAAGCATTTCAAAAAAAATAAGTTTCTCTAATTGGCAGTAAAAGCCAGTAATTTGGCAGTACACTAATCCAAGTGAAAGAACCGAACTTCTGCTCAAATACACCCTACATCATAAAATGTTTTTCGAAGCAAAGTTATTAGACATACAGAAAAAGTATACCAATGAAAAATGAGATGGACCTCAAAATTTTGCAAGATCTCATGTAGGGGTCAAATATTTCAAGCATTCAAGAAAATAATCCCATAGTAATCCTAATGTAAGCTAGACTTCCACAGAAAACTTGTATAAGATACGAAAATTTAGCCAAATATATTATAAGAAATCAGGGCAGGTATAATACAGAAGCAGTACATAAATGAGATATCCTAAACCAACTAGAGCACCATGCATCTTTCCTTCACAGACATTTAATGTAATTACCCATCAAAGCCTAGGGTATGACCAATCAGAAGCACTAAGAGCCTCAAATTCCATATGGATGTCGCTAAATCATATTAACCCACCCTAACTATTTCTGAGCAACCTAGTAAAAAATGTCCAAAAGGTGATGCAACCAAAGAGAGTGAAGATGAAGAATAGGTGGCTCCAGCTAAAACAAAGAGGACCATACATGAAAGGAAATGATAATGGAATACAGATTATCAATCTAAAGTAGATAAAAATGTTTAATACCTGTCATGCGCTCTCCTACAAACAAGCTACAGCTCACTATAATTGCGCCAAACGGCACGAAACTCTTCACGAAATGTGTTCAAGCGAGCTTTCAAGTTGGGCGTTCTAAAGCTGGCGTGGATGAGAGTGGCTGTGGCAGGTAAGGAAGTTAGAAACAACAAATTCACAGGGCAGAGGATCATAACAGGAAAGTTTGAATTACCAAGAAGTCCGATAGCAAAAGCCCATAAGACCATGAGGATACCACATGAAGCAAACCAAAGGAAGAAACTCACTGCAAAGAGGAATAAAAGAGATAATTATTAGCATGCACAATACATCCTTTAAGCCCTAATAAAAACTAAACGCGCATGAAAGAGAAAGTATATCTTACTTGCAGAAAACACCAAGACAAATACCCATCGCGGCTGTCCACATATATGTATTGCTCGTTTTGCAGATGGGCGCCCCCGAATAACAGGTCTAAAAATTTATACGTTCATGTAAGAACCAACAACGGATAACAAAATCTGGAGAGAAACTAAACTTACGTGAGGGGAGGTCTCATCTTAGCTGCCAAGTGAGGAGAAAACTGTCTGACAGTTCTTGTGACCTTTTCGCTGAAGGTACCGGCAAAACTACATAAACAAGCATTGGCGATATAAGAAAGCTTACAAGACGATGACAGAAAACAGGACTGCGGTTCAAGAATATTCACTACATGATTAGCCATCCATTGAAACAAATCCAGTTTTCATCCCATGAAAGTAATAGAAATACGATCTACAATAATGATTCCAGTTCTTCCAATACTATCAGATCACTCTCCCCCTACCTTCTATATTCCCTTGTCAAGAAAACGAGTAATGCTTCAATATACAACTCAACTGATAATTCGTTCAGAAGTACATACCTATCATTCAGAAACGCGATACTCAAAGCTGTCAACAAAGCAGCAACAATAGCTAGCGGCCTCCTAAGAAATCCAATCCCTGAAAGTCGTACACGTATCCAATACTACATAATCAGCAGTCATGTAAAAACACAGGCAATCAGAACAAGGAAAGCCCACCATCACCATCGTCCTTTTCTCTCTTACCAAGAATGAAAACAATCATTATGAAATAATTCGTCCGGTAGCTGCAGAAGGCCAAAAAACAATGATTAATGATGAAATATTACACAATCTTAAATGAACAAAACTCACTGCTCCGATCAAACGCAACGGCTAGGTCATCATCATTTCCAGTCCATTAAACTAATATTGGAAAATCGCATACGCAATCAAGCACGCTAAGACTGAGAAAGGAAAATCGTACTAATAGAGGTTGCACTTGAGGCGACTGTTCCATTTGGCGTACGAGCGGGGCACGGTGAATCGGGAAAAGAACTCCGACACGGGACGCGGCGGCGACGACCAGTCCACTTCGCGAAGAGCCTCCACCAGATCCTCCGCCGTCACGTTGCTCCAATCCATGAGCTGTTTTCAAGTGATCGGGAAAAAATTGAGCCCGATTGATCGCGAGAAACCCTAGGAAG